ATCTATCTATCTATCATCTATCTATCTATCTATCTATCATCTATCTATCTATCATCTATCTATCTATCATCTATCTATCTATCTATCTATCTATCATCTATCATCTATCTAGCTATCATCTATCTATCTATCTATCTATCTATCTATCTATCTATCATCTATCTAATCTATCTATCTATCATCTATCTATCTATCTATCTATCTATCTATATCTAATCTATCATTTATCCATCCATCATCAATTTTCTCTATTGATCACTCTATCTCCCCTTCTCTACCATCCCTGCATTTATCTACTATACATCAAACTTGGATCTATAGATCTACTACTCACCATCTATATTTCTGTCTACTATCTATTCTCTACTACCAGAAGAACAATGTCTGCTTGTGCTTTACTAACTATGCAAAGACATTTGACTGTGTGGATCATAACAAACCAAGGCGAGCATTGAGAAGAATAGGAATCTCAGAACACTTAATTATACCTGGCGAGCTCTGGTGACCTAGTGGCAAGAAGCTGCACTGCAATCCAAGAGGTGTGCAGTTCGAATCCACCAGATGCTCTGCTGGAGAAGGAGGGACAATCTCCTCCTGTACTAGTCAGATCTGATTTGATGGTACACACACAAAAAAAATAATAAAATAAAATTTAAAAATTAAAAAAACCCAAAAAAACTATACCTACACCAAGAGGCTGTTGTGCAAAGAGAGACAGAGAACACTGTTGTTGTTGTTGTTGCTATGTGCCGTTGAGTTGCTTGCACCTCATAGCAACGCTATGTACAATAAGCCCTGAAGCCTGGTCTTTCTTGTGCCAACTTTACTGTTTCTGACACACCCACCGTCATTTTACTGTCTCTGACATACCCACCCTCATTACCCCAGTCACTGAATCAATACAGCTCATCGAGGGTCTTCTTCTCTTTCTCTGTCCCTTCACCCTTCCAAGCGTTATGTACCTTTCTAAGAACTGGTCCCTCCTTGCAACATGCCCAAAGTATGTCAGACAAAGCCTCAGAATCCTTGCCTCCAAGAAGCAGCCTGGTTTCACCCTATCTAGGCTGAACCTGTTTGTTCTCCTGGCAGTCCATGATATAGTCAACACTCTTCTCCAGCACCACAGCTCAAAGGCATCAATTGTCTTTCTATCATCCCTAGTCTTTGTCCACCTTTTTTACTTATAGCAAACAATTGTGAAGACTATGGCCTGGATCAGGTGCACCTTAGTCTCCAGACAGATATCATTGCACTTGAGTTCTCTGGAGAGGTCCCTGACTGCTAACTTTCCCAATGCAATTAATCTTTTGATTTCTTGGCTTCTGGTACCAAGAGGGTTGATTGTGGAGCCAAACAAACTCAAGCTATTAACAATTTCAATCTCTTCACCATCAGCCTGGAGGCCTTCCTTCACTTTGCCCCTGCTGGGGTTGTCTCTTTGTAGGAGGGATGATGGCAGTTGTTATAGCTCAGAGGGGCCGAGAGGAGTGAGGGAGAGACATTTGGCCTCATGAGGCAACCTGCTTGGGGCTGAGGATCCCTGGTCACAAGCAGGACTAGGGTGTGGGTGGGCCCTGACTTTGCTGAAGCTGTGATGTCCATAGTCAGGGTAGGCTTGGAGAGGCCAAAGGTTGCCATCCACACTGGAAGTCTGTGGAGGCGAGCCCCAGGGTCTTGGGTAGTGCTGTGGGATGTGGTGGCCAGGTTCCATGGCAGGGTGAAGAGTGGGGGGGTGGGGAGTGGTTGCCAAGTGATGTGGGCAAGGTGGGACCATGGACTGGGTTTGTTGTGTTGGCCTCTGGGCCTGAGGGTCTTGCAGGGAGTGGGGAATACCTGCTTTTGCCCTCTGGGCTCCTGGTACCCCAAGCCCTCCTAACTTCCAATTCTACAGTAAGATTGGCTGTTCAGGATGAAGGGCTGTGACCCACCTAGGAGGGCCTTCCAGACCTTTCCAGTCTGCCCTTCACCAAGCACAGATACCCAGCCCATTGCGCCCTGTTGTGTGGGGACAGACACCAGTTTGAGCTCCCCAGCATTTTAGGATTTCACCCTCATGCGTTAGTCCATAGGAAGACACGCTGCACCTCTCTGGTGGTTTGAATCCAGCAGCTGCTTTGTGGGAGAAAGAGTGACAATCTCTGGTGTGATTTACTGCCCTGGAACCCAGTGGAGGGTCAGCTAGGAGTGGATTCCATGGCAATGAATTAGATTTTTTTTTTTTTTCGTTTTGGGGTTCAATGTCTCAGACACTCTGGGGAGGACCCAGTTCCCTTGCTCTCTGACTGACCACGGTGGGAGAGGAGGCCCTGTGGGGTCACCATGGGCTTTCCTTCCACTTCCTCTGCCCCCTTGAGGAGTCAGGTGGACTCAGGCCTTGTTGCTGGGGGTGCTGTACTCACTGGCCTCTTCCCCAAGCCCTGCGGGGATGGGCAGGTCTTCACAGGACGCCCTGAGTGAAGAGAGTTCCGCTCGGCTGGAGGAGGCCAAGTGCCCCTGGTGCTGGCGGGCTGGTGGGGCGCATGCCCCTTGGCCTCACCTGTAGCCTGCTGGTCCCTTCTCTTCTCCCCTCTGTTCCCCATGACAGTATCCAGGTGGGGGGCGCCCTCAAGGCCTCAGTTGACCCCTCTATCAAATGGGACTGGATGGGGAATCCCAGAGCCCCCCAGCTGCGCCCGTCCCCGTCCCCCGGTGGGTCCCCGTCCCTCAGGGGCGGCATCTCTGCCCACCACCGTCCTCTGTCCTTGCAGCCGAGGGTCCACAGGAGCCGGTGCCAACGCCGTGGAACGAGCCGGCCGAGCTGCCGTCGGGGGAAGGTCCTGCAGAGAGCACGAGCCTGGCCCGGGAGCCCGCGGCCACAGACGCCCCGGCCGCCACCGCCGCGCCAGGCCCGGAGGACAGCACCGCACAGGAGCGGCTGGACCAGGACGGCGGTAGGCGGGGCGGAGCACAGGAGGGAGGGGCCACGCGGAGAGGGGCGGTTGGGGCGTGACCTGAGGGCGGGACCACAGGGGTGGGGCACCAACGGGGGCGTGTCCCGAGGGCGGGGCTTTGCAATGGTGGGGCTGGGACAAAGGGATGGGGCGGGGCCCTACAGGGAAGGATGTAGGCGGGGCGTGATTCGAGGGCGTGGCCTTGGGGGGCGGATGGGGATGGGGCGGGGCGGGAGGGGCCTACAGGGAGGTTGTAGGCGGGGCGTGATCAGAAGGCGTGGCCTGAGGGCGAGGGCGTGGGGGTGACGGGGTGGGTAGAGGGGCTTGGACAAGAGGCCAGGGAGGGGCCCTACAGGGAAGGATGTAGGCGGGGCGTGATCAGAAGGCTTGGCCTTGTGGGGGGGACGGGGGATGGGGCGGGACACATGGGGGTGGGGCGCCGATGGGGTTGGGCCTAGGACGAGGGGGTGACAGGGTGGGGCCTACAGGGGAGGATGTAGGCGGGGCGTGATCCGAGGGCGTGGCCTTGGGGCGGGGCCCCGTGGGTTGGGGAGAGGGGCTGGGACAAGAGGCCAGGGAGGGGCTCTACTGGGGAGGATGTAGGTGGGACGTGGCCAGAGGGCGTGGCCTTAGGGGAAGGGACCCTACAGATGAGGGCGTTGGCGGGGGCGTGCCCCGAGGGCAGGGGGTCTGGGGAGGGGCAGAGAACGAGACCTTGCAGTGGGGGAGTGAGGGATGGTGCGTGTGAGGGGGCGGACAGGGCCCTGGACAGGGGGCGGGGAAGGCATATGGGAGGAACGGGACTGGATGAGGGGGGAGGCAGGGGCCCCGCACATTGCCGAGAAGGGCGACTGGTCCTCTGTCCTTCTGCAGGTTCCCTGGGACCCGGCGCCATCGCAGCCATCGTCATCGCTGCCCTTCTGGCCACTTGCGTGGTGCTGGCGCTCGTGGTGGTCGCGCTGAGGAAATTCTCTGCCTCCTGAAGCCAATAAAAGAGGATTCTCGACACCCTTCATGCCCCCTGTGTCTGCACGTGCCCTGTGCCCGCACAAGTGCCCGCGTGTGCGCACAGGTGTGTCCGCACGTGTCTGTGTGCACGTGTGTCAGCGAGTGTGTGCGCATGTGTCTGCACGTGTGTCCATGTGTCCGTGCATGTGTGCATGTGGCCACGCGTGAGAATGCGCGTGTGTCCATGTATGTGCGTGCCTGCACGTGTGTGCATGTGTGTAAGTCTGTCCGTGTATGCATGTGTGTTCGTGTGAGTGTGCGCGTGTGGTGTTCAAGTGTCTGAGTCCCGGGAGGGTGAGGCTTGGGGAGAGTGCACGCGTGTGTCCACGTGTGCAGGACAAGGCAGAGCTGCAGGAGCACGTGCAGACTGCATCCTGGAGAGGACCCCCACGTCCTCTGCCAGCTCCTGCCAGCTGGGCTGCCTCATCCCAATCCCAGAGCTTGCCACCACCGCCTGCCCCTCCCCACCCAGGGCTCTGGACAGTGGCCAGTGACTGAGAATGTGTAGCCATCCACTTAGAGGGGTCCTTGGAGTGGGTCCTTGCACCCCTCTGGAGGCCAGGTGGAGTCCTGGTGGTGCAGTGGCATAAACGTCGAGCTTCAAACATTTGCTCTGCTCTCTGACAGAAAGTTCTGTCCTCTCTGTGAGGATTACAACCCTGGGCCCTGAGGGGAGGTTCTGCTCTGCAGGGTCATCTGAAGGCAGAATGCACCCCACTCTGTGCACTTTTGGTTTTTGAAATTTTTTCGCCTGTCCCAGGTTGGAAGTTCAGCTTCACATGGGACTTCAAATGGCTTTTAAAATCACCTCTCCTCAATTCCACTTCAGAAGCAGCCTGAGCTGAGGGAGCGTCACATAATTTTCTACACTTGTCCGCTGGCCATGGACAGGCTGGGGGCTTTATCATCATCATTTATCATGCTTCCTAGGAAGTGCTACGTCCAGCATTAGAAAAGGACAGAATGCGGTGAGCTGACAGGCTGCCACAGCAGGGAAGGAAGGAGCTGGGACACCAGGGCAAGGGGCTTCTCACCACCTCCCCCCCAATCCTCCAGCTGCTGGCCAGCACAGTGGGTCTGGACGGGGTTAATATGTCTGTGCACTATTGTCATTGCTAGGTCCCATCGAATATGACTCATAGTGACCCTGTGAACAAGAGGCCTGAGCCCTGTCCTTCCCTGTGCCGTCCTCACCATCTCTGACACAGTCACTGTATCAATCCATCTTGTTAAGGGTCTTTATCTCCTTCGCTGACCCTCCACTTTTCCAAGCATGATGTTCTTCAAGGACTAGACTCTCCGAGCACCATGTCGAAGTATGAGATGAATCCATCTTTACGTCCAGGAGCACCCTGCCAAGGACAGTGAAAGCTGGCACGTGTTCAAGAGGCTGCTTCTCACATAATCTTGTGTGGTTGAAGGCCTCGTTAGACCAGGTGTAACTCAGTACACCTTTTCCCAACTTCAGAGCAAAGGCCAAGCTGACCAATGGCCGCCATCCTGCAGGCTCAGAGCATCACATTGCTCACCCTTGACCTCCTCTCCTCTATTCTGGGGGACTCAGATTTAGGAACCTGGGGTTACAGACCCCAAGAGCCTTGGGGGGTTCAGATTTAGGAACCTGGGGTTACAGACCCCAAGAGCCTCAGCCTATCTGTTGGGATGATGGACTCTCACCCCATTTTGAACCAGATAATTCTCAAGGGGACTGAGGACCCAAGGACACTAATTGTCAGTGCTGCCGCCTGTAGGAGGCTCATAAAGCCCCACAGTGTCCACCTCCCAGGCTTGTCTGGCATGAAGGACAGCACATCCTGCACAAACTCTGGGACCAGGTGGACAAGGATCCCCTTAGACGAAGGTCCCTCAGTTTTGGGGGCTAGAAACCCAGGGGGCTGCTGGTTCCTTGTGCCTGGAAGGAGGGGGGCTCCATTGTCTGGCCAAGTGGCCACCATGGCAGCAGGAAGAATGATCTGGGGACAGTGGCCATCCAGGTGAGACATCCAGCTCCACCGCCTAGTCCTTCAGAAGTCTTCTAGTCCTGCATCCTTATTTCCCCTGCAGAAGGACACTGCGCTTCCTCCAACAGCTCAGAGTCTGTCCACATGTCACAGCCCCAATCCAGTGCCACACATCCATCAGCTATCATTTATCCCTCATCTGTCCATTCACCGTCCACTCACCCATTATCCATCTAACCTCACCCACCATCATCCATCTATTTTCATCCTTTGCTCACCTGCCATCCATCCATTCACCCACCCATTCATTCCTGATCCCTGTCTTCAGCCACCCACCTATCCAGTATCCGTTTTCACCCATGTGCCCACCTATTATCCATCCATCCATCATCCATCTGGGGGCCCAGACCTGGCTGTTTCTCCCCACCAGCAGCTCTGAAAACCTTTCCTTTGGGGCACACCTCCTCCACTGTCCTTGAAGAGAGATCCCCTTCTCCCTGCCCAGAAGCCAACACCTCATTCCTGCGTACAGGAAAATAAAGATCAGACCACCATGTCCTTTATTTTATACATGATGCTTCTTTTAATGCAGCCAAAACTGAGGTTGCTTTTCTCATAACCAATACAGAATGCAGCCACCAAATCATTCCGGAAAATGCCTGGGCTCCGGACAACCGAGCAGCCCACAGCTGGCTGAGGCTTGGGGCAGAGTGGACAGTCCATGCACTGCAGGCCAAGGGCCTCTCACCAGGTTCGGCAACTGAAGGCAATCCACTGCCTCCATGGGGAGTCTACCTGCTCCTGGGCAGAGGGGGGCGTGCAGGGGCCATAAGCTTCACCTCTACTTGTCCTTGGCCAGTGCTACCTTCCTGGGAGGCCCCCCAGAGCATGCCAGGCCCCTTCCAGACCCTCTCAGGGACAGGAAGGAGGGAGAGGTGGTGGAATACTGTCGAACACACACGTTCTCGACACAGTGTCCATGAGCAGCTTGTATCCAGATGCAAGCGAGGGGCGAGGACGAGGGAGTCACGTCCTAGTGCCCCTGGACTATGGCCTGTCCTCCTGGACCTCCTACCATTTCCGCTAGCCACCAGCCCTGCTCCTGCCTGCCCACACCCTGCCGGGCGGGCCGCTGGCCAGGGGTCACTGTCGATTCCGACTGCCCAGCTTCCTGCGGTCCTTATTCTGACTGCGCTGAGGGTCGTCCATCTTGTGGACACGGAAACATTCCTTGAGGTTCTGTGACCGGATCTTGGGGTTCAGGATCTCCTCGGTCATGGAGCTGGGGAACCAGCCTCTCTCCTGGTCATGCAGCCGTTCACCGAAGATCCACCCTGTTGGGGGTGGGGAGTCAGGACCACCCTGGACTGGCACGAGGGCCAACGTTCCATCCTTCCTGGGGCAGTGGCCACCCAGATGGCCTTTCCCAAGGGCACTGCTCCTCAATCTCCTGCTGATACCCTCTGACCAAGCCTGTCCTACAGAAATCGGGGGGCACACCACTGCATGCCTTCCCAGAAGGCATGATGAACAAGTTAGAGAGAGAGAGAGACTGGGAAGACCAGGTGTGACCAAACCTCCTGACTGTGGAACCCATTAAAGATCCTTCTAAAAAGCCCGAGTTGCCGCCACCCCATGCATGGAGATCCCAGGAGCCATCCTAAAAAGTAAGAGGCAGCTAAGGGGCTGATGGGACTGGGAAATGACCACAGGGCTATGTGGACGCCACTGTCCCCCCTCACTGTGTGCTCTCTCCTGAGGGTCAGGTGGTCAGCTCAGGGCTGAAGGCCGGGTGGGCCTAGATTTACTCAGAGTTTGCTGCAAATACAGGGTCAGGGTCAAAGTCAAAGCCAGGGTGCAAGGGCACCATTCCCAGCTTTCTTCCCCAAGGTCGTGAGAGGGAAGTGAGAGGGAAGTGCCGTTCCAGTGGACCCAGGGCTGACGGCAAGGTGGGACCTTGAGGCCCGTGTGAGGTCCAGTCTGGCCCTGGTTCTAAGATCCACAGAAATGAGCACGGGTCTGCAGGCAGCATGGCTCCATGGGCAGAGGCGAGAGCATGTGACCCTGCCCACAGCCAGCCCGCCGCAGGCACCCCTACTGTGTCTGTGAGGGACTGAGCCTCCTCCCCGACTCTCAGGCTGGGGAGATGGCGGGCCTCACCATCCTCTGTCTTTTCCAGGATGTTCAGGATGTCGGCGAGGTCCAGAGTCAGCTCATCCGGCTGCTGGGCCACATAAGGGTGCACACACTGGACCTGGGGACAGTCTGAGTGGGCAGCAGAGAGAGAGGGTGTGGACATGGCGCTGTCATACTGCCACCAGCTCTGCCCTTACCCCACAGCACCTCATCCCACCCATGGTTAACATGGTGCTTGGCCAGCAGCCAGGGTAGAGGAATTTGGCCCAAAATTGCCCCACGAACACCCACAGTTCCCTAGAATGGTCATACGGAGGGGAAGCAGGCTTGGTTGCCAGGGAAACACTGGAAACAGCCAGGCCCGCACAGAGGGGAGGCTGTGAGGCCCGCACAGAGGGGAGGTCTTGAGGCCCACACAGAGGGCGTGCTCCCTGGGACTCCTGTCCATCCAGGGATGTGGCTGGGAGCCTTGTGGGACGGCCCGGGCAAGGTGAGGATGGGAGGCCAGCCCCAGACCCTCTGATGAGGCTGTGCCCTTTTAGACATCAGGGGCCCCTGGAGGACATTAGGACTGACTTGTTCTCGAGGCCTATTGCCAAGCGGGCCTCTTGTTTCCTTCCCCACTTTCCATCCTCGTGTGCCTTGAGCTCCAGGCATCACACTCTGACTACCCCAGGCCCACACCTCCTAAGCAGGGCTTCCTGGAGGCTGAGGCTGCCCCGGAAGCACTTCTTTTCACTGGCAGAGGCCCTGTGGGCGGCTTACCCAGCAGCCGGGATGTGAAAGAGACGAACTTAGTCCTTCGGTTGGGGGCCAGCGATGTCATCCATCGCTTCATCTCACTCCTGTGACAAGAAGGAGCAGGCTGTGCCACATCTGCCCTGACCC